CTGGCTAACCTAGCTGATGTGATGCAATTGAAAGGAAAAGTGGAAACATGATTACTCAGAAGTCAACACGGTGGTGTTGTCTGGTGAGGAAGGGGGTGACAGGTGGGGATGGGTACGTGGTGGGGGCTTCAACACAGGGTCACATCCTGTTCTTTTTTTTTTTTTTATGGTAGTCACACACAGAGAGAGAAAGAGAGAGAGGCAGAGACACAGGCAGAGGGAGAAGCAGGCTCCATGCACCGGGAGCCCGACGTGGGACTCGATCCCGGGTCTCCAAGATCGCTCCCTGGGCCAAAGGCAGGCGCTAAACCGCTGCGCCACCCAGGGATCCCCCACATCCTGTTCTGAAGGCTGGTCGTTGTGAAGTCTCTACTCTATAAGCTGGACATGTAAGTGACAGATGTTTTTTCTGTGTTTGATAAATTTCATATATCAAAAATGAAAAAAAAAAAAAAACACCACCTTGGGCTGCTTTGTAGAACAACGTGGTCCCGGGGCGCCTGGGTGGCTCCGTTTGGAAAGCGTCTGCCCTCGACTCAGGTCGTGATCTCGGAGTCCTGGAATCGAGCCCCACATCCGGCTCAGCAGAGAGTCTGCTTCTCCCTCTGCCCCTTCCCCTGCTCATGCTGGCGCTCTGTCTCTGAAATAAATAAATAAAATCTTAAAAAAAAAAAAAAAAAAAAAAAAAAAAAACGGGCAGCCCCGGTGGCTCAGCAGTTTAGCGCCACCTGCAGCCCAGGGCCTGATCCTGGAGACCTGGGATCGAGTCCCACGTCGGGCTCCCTGCGTGGAGCCTGCTTCTCCCTCTGCCTGTGTCTCTGCCCCACCCCAACCCCCTCTTATAAATAAATAAAATATATATAAAAAAAAAACAACAACGTGGGCCCAATATAAATAGAATACCCTACGCCAAAGAGAAATGATAATCCTGTGACCTCATAGACCTGTTAACTATGCTCCCTGGTAATCATGTTGCAATATGTAAATGTGTGAAATCAATATACATTGTACACCTTACAGTTGCACAAGGTCATATGTCAACTATGTCTCAATTAAAAAAAAAAAGAGTATCCTAGGGGTGCCCCTGGGTGGCTCACTCTATGAAGCATCTGCCTTCAGCTCAGGTCATGATTTCAGGGTCCTGGGATGGAGCCCTGTGTTGGGCCCCCTGCTCAGTGGGGAGTCTGCTTCTTTGTCTCCCTCCCTCCCTGCTCATGCTCTCTCTTGCTCTCCCTTTTACTCTCTGTCTCAAATAAATAAAATCTTTAAATTTTTTTTTAAATTAAAAACAATTTTTTAAATTAAATCTTATTATTAAAAATTAATTAATTAATTAATTAAATCTTATTTAAAATGTGGTTTTAGGGGATGCCTGGGGGTCTCAGTGGGAGCATCTGCCTTCGGCTCAGGGCATGATCCCGGGGTCCTGAGATCGAGTCCCGCATCGGGCTCCCTGCATAGAACCTGCTTCTCCCTCTGCCTGTGTCTCTGCCTCTCTCCGTGTCTTTCATGAATAAATAAGTAAAATCTTTAAAAAAAATTTTGGTTTCAAGATGGCTGGCTGGCTCAGTTGGAAGAACATGTGACTCATGATCTCAGGGTCATGAGTTTGAGTCCCATTTGAGTGCAGAGATGACTTAAAAAAAAAACTTTAGGGATCCCTGGGTGGCTCAGCGGTTTAGAGCCTGCCTTAGGCCCAGGGCGCGATCCTCAAGTCCCAGGATCGAGTCCCGTATCGGGCTCCCTGCATGGAGCCTGCTTCTCCCTCCTCCTGTGTCTCTGCCTCTCTCTCTCTCTCTCTCTCTCTATGTCTATCATGAATAAATAAATAAATAAATCTTTAAAAAAAACCTTTAAATCATTCATTCATTATTTATTTATGAGAGAGAGTGGGAGAGAGATCGAGCAGGATGAGAAGGAGCAGAGGGAGAGGGAGAAGCAGGCTCCCCACTGAGGGGAGCCCAATGTGGACCTCGATCCCAAGACCCTGGGATCATGACCTCAGCCAAGGGCAGACGCTTAACTGACTGAGCCACCCAGGCGCCCTCCCCCTCCAAAACTAAAACAAACAAACAAACAAAAAGTGGTTTCTTAGGCACACCAGCCGCATTTTAAGGGCTCCGTGGCCGCACATAGCTGCTAGCCACCGACCAGCACAGGTGAAGAGGGTGCTGGGAGAGTCACCCGGGGAGGGACTGTCGAGCCCAGGGCTGCGGTGGGTGCTGCGCTCAGACACCCTGTTCCCCACCTGGACCTCTCCCACATCCTTGTCCAGGCCTCACTGCAATACCCGGACTCACAACCCCCCCCCCCCCCCCCGTCTCCCACCCTCTGGAGCCTCCTCCCAAGGCGCCCTGCGACCCCTTGTGCACAGCCCTGGACTCAGGTAGCAAGGGGCAGCTGGGGTTTTTTGGGGGTGGGGGTGGCGTGGATCCGCGAGCTGGGAAGCCCCCTGCGTGCAGGCGAGGACCCTTCTATAGAGCAAAGCCCAGGGAGAGAGAACCAGAGGCAGGCGGTGTGGGCTCCGGCCCCCGCGGGGAGGAGAATGTCACCCGCAGGCTTCCCGGGAGCTTCCGAGGCGTGGGTCCGGGTCTGTCTCGGGGTAACAGCTACAGACTGGCTTACATCTCACAGTTCCGGGAGCCGGGAGTGGGGCTCAGAGGGGAGGTCCTCTGTCCCAGGCGGGTCGATGGGGTCCCCGGGTGGCATCCAGCTTGCAGGAGGGCCAGGCTGGGGCCTGAGCCACCCCTCTCCCGGTCCGTGGGGTCCCATGTCCCCACGGCTGCAGCGCAGTGGGACGGCTTTCATGGGATCTGGTCCTGCGGTGGGCAGGGGGTCCCCGCGAGTGGCGAGTCCCGGATGCAGCCAGGACCAGATCCACCAAGGGGAGGGATGTCCCAGGACTGCAGCTGGGATTCCCCAACAACTTCATTGAGATAAAAGTCACAAAGTCACATAGCATACAATTCTCGCCCTAAAGTGCACAGTTCAGTGATTTTTAAAAAAATATTCACAGCACTCGGCATCCACCACCATCCACATTAGAACATTCCATCTCCCCAAAAAGAAGCCCCATCCCTTCCCGTCCCCAGCGCCCAGCCCCCCTCCATGGACGAGCCGTCCTGCACGTGTCACACACCGGGACTCCCACCCGTGGGCCTCCTGTGTGTGGCTCCCTCCCCGAGCGCCGTGGCTGGGGGTCCGCCCGGGTGGCGTGGGGGCCTCGCCCCTGCTGCAGGTGACGGAATTCCACCGGGTGGAGAGCTTCGGCCATCTCAGCCGCCATCAGTCCATGGACATTTGGGTTGATTCCACATTTTGGAAATTAGAGACACTGCTGCTGTTAATATTGGGGCGCGCGTTTTGTGGGGACAGGGCGTCGGGCTCCCTCGGGTGGAGCTCCCAGGCGAGAGGCACCGGGCGCACCTGGGGAGCAGCCGCCAGCCTCCGAGGGCTCCCCGCTGCGCACATCCTCCCCGCGTGGGTTAGGATCCATCCTGGGCTGTGAGGCCGCCCTGGCCCGATGCTCCCTGTGTCTGCGGCCGGAGTGGGGGGGCTGGACGGGAGCCCAGAGTGCACCTGGCGGCAGCAGCTGGTTCTCACCGGACGGTTTCCGAACGTGGGTTCTGCGAACCCTGTGCCCCGAATTCTTGCCCTGGGTCCCACTAGTGTGAGAGGCAGGCTGGCTGGTGGTGACCCGAGGCCGGAGAGAAGGGGTGGGTCTGAGAGCCTGTTTGGGAGCCAGAGCCGAGGAGTTAGGTGCTGCGGGGCAGGGAGGTTCAGGGGGAGCCCCACCCCGGCCCCTGGAGCACCCCTCCGGCACCTCCGACCTCCGCTCCTGCTGGCTGGCCTGTCTGCACGTGTGGCCCTCCTCCTGCCTGGGAGCCCCGAATCTTCACCGTCTGTTGGCCTGACCAGAGTCCCCCTTCCCAAAAGTCCCGCCCCTTGGAACCTGTGAGGGGGACCCTGTGGGGTCTTTGCAGATATAACTAGTTAAGTTCTGATGAGGCCACTGGGATTGAGGCGGCCTACGTCCTTGTGAAGACACAGACCCCCAGGGAGACGCAGAGATGGGAGCCGGGCGCCCGTGAGCCAAGGAGCGCCAGCCCCACCAGGGCCCGGACACGTCCCCAGGGAACCAGCCCTGCCCGACCTTGACCTTGGACCTCTACCCTCCAGAACCCGGAGAGATAGATCCCTGCTGTGCTAAGCTGCCTGGTGTGAGCTATTTGGACTCGGCTACACCGCCTACGGGGGTCAGTCCAACACTCCCCCGCGTCCCGTGGCTCTGGGCCCCGGCCTGTCCCGGGGTCTGGGGTGAGGGTGGTCTGCGGTCTCCCCGGAACTGCATCCTCCAGCCAGCGGTTGGCTCAGCCCCCGAGGGGTAGGAACTCCCCTGCGAATGATGAAGCTTGATGCCGGTCAGCTCACTGGCGGCCACCCCACCGGCCCCTTCTTTGGTTAGGGGACTCCTTCAGCCGTGCGACCAGCGCCTCTTTTTTTTTTTTTTTTAACATTTTATTTATTTACTCATGAGATACACACACAGAGGCAGAGAAACAGGCAGAGGGAGAGCAGGCTCCCTGCGGGGAGCCCGACGCGGGACTCGATCCCGGGACTCCAGGATCACGCCCTGGGCCCAAGGCAGACGCTCAACCGCTGAGTCCCCCAGGGGCCCCATGACCAACGCCTCTTTATTGAGCACCTACTGTGTGCTGGAACTACCTCGGTGAGCAAAACACATGAACCCCTGCCCTGGCGGAGCCCATATTCTAGCAAAGGGCACGGTAATAATTACGACTGGTAAGGGAGGTATATAGCATGTGCGCAGGTGTTAAATGCTAAGGAGAAAAAAAGGGGGGGGTATGAAATGTGCCGGTGGGGTGTGTGTGAAGCATCTCGGTCAGTGGCCAGGGAAGCCCCACGGAGAGGGGGACAGAGGCCGGGTGACCCAGGGCAGGAGGGGTGTTCCAAGGAGAGGAACAGCAAAGGCCTGGGCAGCAGGAAGGGCTTGGGGGGGGCAGGGGGGAGTATTTCATTTGGGGAGGGTGAGCAGAGGAGGGACCCTGGAGGGCAGGGGTGCCCGGGAAGTGGCTGCTAGCAGATTGCCAGGTCACCCCGGCAGGGGAGGGGTGCAGAGGAGCCCTTCCGTGTTTCCTGTGCGTGCACCAACCGCCACCAACTGCCACCGTCTAGGTCACCCTTTCTTGCAGCTTTTTCACTAGTGTGATTTTTCCATGAAAAGAAGGAGTTTGAGAGATTAAGTCCCCAGCTCCAGGACCCTCAGCTTAGGAGGGCTGCAGGTGGGGTGCGCGCCGGGTGAGTGTGACTTCGGAGCAGAAGCCCCTCAACCTGCTGCTCCCTGCCCCCGCCCCTCCCCAGCAGTTCCCAGCCTGCCTGGCCTTCTGGCCTCCTGGCCTTTGCTCTTGTCACCTCCTCCCAGCCCATCCGGTCTTACCAACATCTCAAACTTCAGGTGATGACTCACGTCCAGTCCACCCGGAAGCCTCTCCTTAGGGACAGGAATCAGGTCTTGCTCATCTCTGAGAAAAAAAAAACAACAACAACCCACATGATGTCAGTCAGTCATGACATCAGCACTTTTCCTGCTTCAAACCTGCCAATGGTTTTCTGGCACATCCAGAGTCATACCCAGACACCCCGGGTCACTGTCCCCGAGGCCCCCGTGTCTGGTCTCATCTCCCCCGTTCCGCCCTGTCACTGACTCTGCTGCAGCCCCCTGGGGCTCCCTGGACCGGGTGTGGCCTCACCGCAGGGCCTTTGCACATGCTGCGCTGGAAGCACTCTCGCTTCGTGCTTCCCAAGCTTGGCTTCTTTGTGTCACTCAGGTGTCAGCCCCGGTGTCACCTCCCCTGCCCATCCCACCAGAAGCAGTCATGTTACTGCCCATCCCCAGCGCCATATCGGCTCCCCTCGGGCCTCCAATCAGTGCCACGAAGATAGAAAGCACCCCGAGTCCGAGTCCGAGGCAGTTGCTCCCCACAGGGCCCTCTTCTAAGTGGACCGGAATGAACTCGGTGGAGGGTGCTCAGAACACTCCTGGCTCACGCTGTGGTTTCCATGAGCAGAGAGCGGAACGGGATGCCCAAGCTCATGCAGCGGGACAGGGACAGAGCCGGGATCCAGAGCCCAGCAGTCAGAGGTGCCCTTGGTCGTCCCATCCCCTCCCTGTGCTGTTTGGGGGGCCCTGTCCGCACCCACGTCCGCCCTGCCCCTCACGCCCTCTCCTGCTCGGCTCCGCTCCGATGCCACAACCAGACATGGTGGCCTGGGGTGCTTCAGCCCCGGTCTCTGACTTGTCACCCTCCTGGAAGTTGGAAGTCGGGGGTTGGGTGGCAGCAGGGTGGGCTCCGGGGAGGCCTCTCACTCCTCACCAGGTCCTCACGTGGTGGAGAATAAAGTGCTGGTGTCCCTTCCTCTCCTTATAAGGGCGCTAATCCACCCTGGGGCTCCACCCTCATGACCTCACCCAGCCCGAGTCCCTCCCAGACGCCCCACCTCCAAGTGCCACCCCACAGAGGTCAGGGCCTCGGCTTACAGAACCCGAACTTGTGGTCCCTAACACCTCCTATCACCGTGGGGGGCTCCAGGTGGCACCCCCACCCTCCTCCCAGGCCAGGGGCTCCTCCCAGGACATTCCAGCCTCAGTGCTGGCTGGGAGCCCGAACCCCCCTCCTGGGCAGGTCCACCCCTCAACCTCCTTGGTTTCTTCCTTCATCCATGGGGGAACAACCCAGGTTTGTGCAGGGGTGGGTGGAGGTGGGGTGCTGGGGTTTGCAGGCGGGGGTCCCAAGAAGCAGGGCCTGGACGCGGGTGAAGCAGAAACTCAGTCAGGATGAGAAACCCTATTTTTGTTTTGTTTTGTTTGTTTTAAGGATTTTATTTATTTATTTTACAGGGAGAGAGAGAGAGAGAGAGAGAGAGAGAGAGAGAGAGAGAGAGAGAGAGATGACAGCCGGAGAGCGAGCGCACCAGCAGGGGGAGCAGCAGGCAGAGCGAGAGGGAGAGGCTGACTCCCCCGCGGAGCCCGAGCGGGGAACCCCACCTGGGGACTGGATCCCAGGACCTCGGGATCACGACCTGAGCCCAAGGCAGACGCTTCACCATCGGAGCCCCCCAGGCACCCTGAGAAATCTTATTTTGATGTCATGTTTTTAACCAAGTCAAGCCAATGGAAAAACACAACAACAACAACAACCCACAGATACATTTTCAAAATTTTTAATCAGGGCAGATCAGTCATCCTGATTTTTCCTTTGGGCCGGGGCTTGCACAGGGCTTGCTGCGGCACCCTGATCCTGCCTCGATGGGACACCCTACGATTCCGTCCATCCTGGATTGGGGGGGGGGCATCTGTTTGAGTCAAACTGTCACATCAAAATATTTATCTCACTCTGGGCCAGTGGTGATGGTTGCACAGGCTGGTCACTCTTCAAAGCCCTCTGAGCTGGACCCCAGCTCAGCTAAAAGCGTGTTTGATGGTTTGTGAATTATATCTCAATTTAAAACATGAGAGAAAAAAAAAAAGACTATTTTGGTGACTGAGTTCTTCGCTGCTCCCTTAAACCTTGCCTCCCCCCGACCCGAATGTCCATGCTGCCTGCACCCCAGCGCCGCCGGGCCAGCCAGAGCAAAGCAGAGCCTCAAAGAACCCGTGTCCGGACCCTTCCCGGGAACCAGCCTCTTCCCGAAAGGCCGGGCCTCTGCCGGCCGGGCCCGTCCCGCCTCCACCAGGCCAGCACCTGCTCAGCCTCCCGCACTCCCCTTGCTCCTACGCTACCCAGGCGGCTTCCTTGACCCCTGGGTGCCTCCCCACACCCCGTCCTCTCTGGGCTCCAAACATCCCGGTGTCAACCCCGGGGTCTTGGGCTACCTGGTGCATCTGGGAATATCCTCAGAGGACTCGGACCTCTGTGCCCTTGAACTCATAACGCCGTCTGCAGGGGCCTCGATTCCTTCCCTGTAAACTTGCCACGACCCCGAAGTGCCACCTGGGGGGGGGCGGGGGGAGCCCCCAGAAAGGGCCCGCCTCCAAAATGCTCAGCAGCCAATAAAAGTTTGGTCTCATTAGCACCTTCCCTGCAACGTTACTAAAAATGTGGCTCCATTGATCAATTGTAGAGACAAAGGGTCTCATTCTTTTTTTTTTTAATTTTTTTTTTTATTTATGATACAGAGAGAGAGAGAGAGAGAGAGAGAGAGGCAGAGACACAGGGAGAGGGAGAAGCAGGCTCCATGCACCAGGAGCCCGACGTGGGATTCGATCCCGGGTCTCCAGGATCGCACCCTGAGCCAAAGGCAGGCGCCAAACCACTGCGCCACCCAGGGATCCCAAAGGGTCTCATTCTTGAGGTGCAGGTGGATGTGCCCGTTTTCTTGCTCTGGACGTCATCAGGGGACGGGGTGCTGTGGGTCTACCCTCCCCCATCAATGTGGTCAATGGTCTCACATGGGGCGACTGTGGGTCTCCACCCCAGTAGATGGGGTCACCTGTCCCTGGGGCATATAGGGACATTCTCAAGGCCTGGGTCTAGGGTAAGGTGCACGGGGCATTCGCCTCAGGAATGAAATCCAGGGGAGGGCGCCAAAAACTCAATCATCAAGATACATATTTTAAAAATTCAAAATCAGTGCAGAAGGATCCATGGTGAAGGAAAGGTGAAAATCATAAATAAAGAGAGGATCCGACCCTGTACCTGCACAGCTCCCCTGCTCCCTCGCCCCCACCCCGCCCCCGCCCCGCCCGGCCCTGGCCCTGTTGGACTTTTTAAATCTTGATATTTTGTCCATCGTAGGTGGGGTGTTTCATTTTGCATACATTTTCATTTTTACGGAATACTGCTTTAGAATGTTGTTGATCTTGATGATGGAGTTTTGTGGCATTCCCTGGAAAGTTGTGCCTGAGGCAAGTGTCACACACTCCCTACCCCACCCCCCTGCCCTGCTTCCAGTTAGCTTCACTGACAAAAACAGGCAACCAAAACAGTCAAAAGGCACAAGCAACCCCATGTCCACCGATGGACGAATAGATAAGCAAAATGTGGTCCGTCCAGACGCTGGAATATTATTCAGCCTTAAGGGGCACCTGGGTGGCTCAGCTGGTGGAGCCCACCAGTGATTTAGGCTCAGGTCATGATCTCAGGGTCGTTGGATCAAGCCCCGAGTGGGGCTCACCCTTAGCGTAGAGTCTGCTTGTCCCTCTCCCTCTGCTCCTCCCCCTGCTCGTGCTCTCTTTCTCCAATAAATAAGTAAATAAATAAAATCTTAAAAAAAAAAAAAAAAAAGGAAGGAAATCCTGGGGCACTTGGCTGGCTCAGTCTATATGGCCTGTGACTCCCCATCTTGGGGTCGTGAGATCAAGCCCCTCCTTGGGCTAGAGCTTGCATTTAAAAAGGAAAAAAAAAAAAAAAGGAAGGACATCCTGACACCTGCTACACGTGGAGGAGCCTTGAGGACATTGTGCTCAGTGACATAAGCCAGACACAGAAGGACAAACACTGTCTGATTCCATTTATAGGCGGTGTCTGGGATAGAGAAATCCAGAGACAGAAAGAATGGTGGGTTCCAGGGTCGGGGGTCCTGTTTAAGGGGCGCCGAGTTCGTGCGGGGGCTGATGGCTCCGGCCGGCGGTGCTGGCTTCACTGCACCCTGGATGCATTTCATGCCTCTGGATGGTGCATTTACAGATGGTCTAAGTGTCTTTCACCATCATTAAAAAAAAAAAAAAAAAAGGCAGACACCCCGGGCAGCACTTTGCCTCTTTGCTTTTCAAAAGACAGGACATCGATAAAGTCACATGCTGCACAGGATGTTGTGTCTATGAAATACAGCGACCGTCACCCCAGGCCCAGCCTCCTCACCCTCCGCCTCCCCCCTCCCCCCGCACGACCCCCGTGCGTCCCTTCCGGCGCTTGGGGCGCAGGGACCTCGTGCGGCCACCAGGTGGCGCCGCCCCGCCTCTCGGCGCCCGGGAGGTTCGGCGCCAGCCCGGTGGGCGGCGCGGAGGCGGTGCGATGCGTCAGCCGGACCGCGGGGCCCGGGAGCCCCGGGAAGCAAGCCGCGGGGCTGAAGGCCAGACCCCGGGCTGGCGGGGGAGGGGACGCTGCTGTGAGTCACGCGGGAGCCCCCGATCGGCCGTGGGAGGCAGTCCCACGCTGGCCTGCCCGCCAGGCTCGTGAACCGCCTTCCTGGGGGAGACGGCGAGGCCGGCGGCAGTCCCCCTGTCGCACACGTGTGGCTCCAACACGCCCTGCCCGGTGGCTTGCGGGAGTGCATGTGCGAGGGAGAGGGGGGCTGCCCGTGCCTCAGTTTCCCCTTTTGTCTAATGCACATAAGCATGGACCCCGCTTCCTGGGTCCTGGAAAATTAAAAGACCCATGATGCCGGGAGCCTGGTGCACAGGACGCGCGCTCCGTCCTCATCAGCGTCCCCTCCGGAAGGAGGGATCAGAGTGGCCACGGCCCCTGCAAGCCGACCTGAAGGGGCGGCGCGGGCGAGAACTGGGCGCCCCGGCCTCCCCCGCGGCCAAGTCCCCCACCGTCAGGTGCAAAGGGGCGCTCAGGGGTGCAGCGCCAGGCGCCGGCAGGGGGCGCGGGCCCGGCTGCCGCAGGGCCACCTGCGCCTCCCACGCGCGCTCCACCCTGAAACTCGCGAGGGGGGGGTGACGAGGGGGCGACCACTCTCGTCCCTCGAGTGCCTAGAGCTGTGCAGCCCTTGCTGCTGGGGACCTCGAGGCGGCCAGCCGGTGCCACCGCGTGACACTTCCTGCGTGCCCCTTATTTTATTCAATGCTTCCTGCAACTCCGTGGGGCTGGGACGCGTTCTCAGGGGGCAGGTGGCCACACAGAGGCCACCTTCGCAGCTCCCAACCTGGGGGGGCCTCGAGGGGGCCTCCTGCGACCACCACCATCCATGGGACACTCTGTGTGCCCTTTATTTTATTTAACGCTCCCTCCAAGCCAGGGAGGCCCGGGCTGCAAGGCCATCAGACAGGCTGGGACCCAGAGCTCCAGACAAGTCACCCCGGGTCTGGGGTCTCCGCGGCGACGCCCCTGCCCGCCTGGGTGGGATCAGGCTGCGAACTGGGGCCCCCGCCCCGTGCAGGCCCCGAGCACAACTTGGGAAAGGCGCGGGCCGGGGACTCTCCCGGGACCAGGAGGGGATTCCAGGCGCCCCCCCCCCCGCCCCTCCACCAACTCCGAAAGTCCGCGCCGGCCTTGCGCGCTGGAAATCCCGCGCGCGCCCCGAAACGCGGCTCAGCTGCCGGGAAATCAGGAGGAAAACTTCTGCTTTTTTTTCTCTTTTCTGGCGCTCGCGCTCCCGCGACCCCGCGCCCTCCTCCCCGCTCCCCCCACGTGGGCCGCGGCG